ATAACTGAGGTGCGGATGTTTGAGTTCCTTACTATTGTTATTGTACTAGTTAGGGTTATATTGTCTACAGTGCCTCTGGGTTGGAAAAGGTAAAACTTCAAACTGGGTTGTTGAAGGGATTAGCCCTGTAGGCGCAGTTGGGCTAGCTCGTAATAGGTTAGACATTCTCTCCTCCTTACCACGCTCGCCATGAAGTATGGTTCAATTGTCTTCTTCTGACAATTGCTTTGAGAAACACACTTTCAACGACACTTTTGGCTGCCTGACCTACACAGTCCTCGAATCTTAACATCACACTCAATTCATCCTCACTTTTAGCAAACAATGTCTCTCCAAAAGTCCGCTTCAGAAACTAAAGCCCGCAAGCATCTAACTTGCGATCAATGTATTGAAATAAGAGCATTAAGAAGACTTGGCTTGACACTTCAAAATATATCCGACAAACTTGGCTTCACAATAAGACAAGTACAACTTGCGTGTGCTCGAGAGACTGAGAATCCTATGTCTCGCAAAGGACCCTTACCAAAATTAAGCGCGGAACAAGTTGATGAGCTTGAGGCTTTCGTCCGGAAATCTCCTAAAAATCGACAGATGTGCTATTTGGAACTAGCCATGGGGCCCTTCAGCCACTGGGGGTGCAATGAACGTTTAATTTCAAATGCCCTCAGTAAAATAGGTTACAGCAGATGCATTGCTCGGAAGAAGCATCCGTTAAGCGCGGTGAACAAGCAGAAAAGATTGGAGTTCGCCCAAATACATTTAGATTGGAGCGATGAACAATGGAGCCGCATATTATGGACTGATGAAATCTGGGTATCAGCTGATTCTCAGCTGATTCTCATATGAAACCTCGTGTCACAAGAAAAATACATTAAGATTCTATCAAAATCTTCCTTGTACTTAAAGCAGAGTTTGGCCTGATGATGAGTTTGATGAGACTTGTATTGTGGCTCGCCATACTCATAGGAACAGCTGGATGTTTTGGGGATCATTTTATGGATCACAAAAAGGCCCATTCCTAGTCTGGGAGAAGGATTGGGGATCAATGAGGGCCTCATCCTTTTGTGAAAGGATTTTGCCAATTTTGAATCAATTTCACTCGGAAAATCCAGAAATTTTATACATGCACGACAACGCACCATGTCACAAAGCGTACTCAACAATTGAGGCGCTGCGTGAGGTTGGAATAACGCCTATTAGATGGCCACCTTACTCTCCGGACCTGAACCCGATTGAGTCATTGTGGAATATCTTGAAAAACCACATTCAGGTAAATAGTCCAGAGAAAAATGGGGTCAGGCTTGTGCGCTCTGCCACGTTGAAGACATTGCTTCAGGATGCATGGGACTCTATATCTTCAGAGGAGCTATTGTCACTAGTTGGCAGCATGCACGAAAGATGTGTAGCAGTGATAAAGGCAAATGGAGGGTACACAAAGTATTAGGATGGAGAAGACTAATACAAAGCATGTAGCACGCTTTCATTTTAGTTGCGAGCCATACTGAGAGCTTCGATGTAGACTTTTGTAATATAGAGCAATAATTTTTGAAATAGATGTGCATTTTTAGAGAATATCAATTGATTTTTTTAATTTTGAATTTCAACTGAGGACCATTGTACCTTTCCCATTGAGTTGAAAACCATCCCCATAATTTAGACTTTCACGGAATGTCATTGGATAGTACTCCTGAATTGCATAACTAGTCGACGAACTAGACATGGGCCTGCATGAAGACTAAACCAATCTAGTCATTAGATACAGGGATCTAACCCCAGTCATTTTGACAATTTTACCTTTGCTATCTATAAGAGACTGTATATACAAAAGGGATTTCTCCATCTTCAAGTGGGCCAGGTCGCTTAGATCCGGCTAGCGGCTATTGCCATCCTGTTCATTTGCCCCCGCATGGCATCACGTGCCATACAACCACTGCTCACCATGAATTCCGAGGATAAAAAGCGTTAGATTACAACCTTGAGTAGGCCACGTTGTTGGTACACAGGTGACTACAAATTCTGTAATTAGTTTCACTTCAGTAGTTACTTGAATCAATGCGCTCTACAACCTCAATGACTTAGGGGTCATTATTTCCTTAATTTGTTACGGGAACACACCCTTGTGTGTGTATTGTCTGTGCCAGTATAGTAGAGATGGAATCTAGGGTCTAGTCAGATATAGAGACTACCAAGGGTGTAGATTGAAAGCGGTATCTAAGCAACAGAGATTGTCATGATTGGTGTCATGAATTAAAATCTTTCATGTAAATAGCAAGATGTAGGAGACCTTCCGTCTCTAGATTTCGTTAATTAACTGATTTATTATCGACTTGCTATGCTGTATACCAACACCTAGTGATCCGGCGACAATAGTGTTGTGATAGCAACAGTTACCATTCGGAGTATAGTTAGTTGCTGTGCTATTGCCGTGGACTACTACACCCTTGGCTATAGTATTGACGCTCGTGTACTTAAGGAAACTCTAGAACTAGATTTATGTTGGAAATATCGCGCAATGTAATGGGCGCAATGTAATGGGCGCAATATTCATGGAAAGAAATTAGAAGTTGACTAAAAGAGTGTCATGTTCGGATTGCAGCTAAAAGTGTGAGAATTGTGCGCTACAAGTACAAGTGTAAGCGACACAGGGCCTAAGCCACAGCATAAACGAGTGTGGCGCCATCTAGGCATAAAAAACCCCCAATAACCTCCTTGCACCCACGCCATACAGCCGCTCATATGTCCAATAGGTAGCCTGAAGCGCTACCATATTACCTATTCCAACCTCGTAGATACACACGAGATCGTGTCGGGAACCTAGACGAAACGGAGGGCCCATACGTCCACAACACTCCGTATCTCCATTTCCAACAATTTGTAGTGTAGCTTTTCGTCTTGTAAATTACTTGTTTTAGAATCTGATCATATATCTGAATATCTCGTTTTCATTTTGAGCCTTTGCCTTCGTCCTCGTCGTCCGCCTCCTAGTACTGTTCTCCGGTATAGTTTGAGTAGCCTGGGCACCTACTCCACTTGGGAAGTAGACGCCTCAGACCACATTTCGCGCGGACAAAAGTTAGTGGATGATGGAGGCATATCTGGATAACTCGGCGTTTTTAAGATGTTTCCCTTGGTGGGTGTTCAAGGATGAGGGTTGACTTGGGCTGAAGAAAAGGCCGGCATATCTTCGCAATGGTAAAAGCAAACGAAATCCGAGGCTGGAGTGCTCTTCTTGTATGTTCAGTCATCTTTTCTGAGCTTTTTCGCCAATGTGGTGTGACAGCTAGATAGCGGCTTACGCAAATGAAATCTATTGAATTGTGACGGCTATTGTGAGTATATAGATCGTAGAGGAATGCTGGAATGGTATAGGGTGGTGAAGGATATATGCCGAACAACGAAGCAGTTAAATAGAGCTTTAGGGTGAAGCTTGGTAGGGTGACACGAAGAGGGTATGAATAGACCTTCAGAGATATTCAGTAAATGTAATGAACTGAGGATTTCTGAAGGAGAAGAACAATACATATATATATAGGAATTAGTCCTACTGAGACGAATTTAGAAATAAGCCAGGATATGCGCCCATGTCCCAGTATGGCGACATTATCATGGTGAAGGTATGTCTTGACCACCAGTAGACCCCCAAGCTAGCAGAGTGTGAGACAGAGTCATGCATATACCATAATTTCCAACATATCTTGTGTTAAGCGCCAAGACTAATGTGACGGCTTGTGAGCCGATAAGTCCTGTAGCCTTCGATGGCTATCGAAGGAATCCTATATTATCTATCACTCCGAGGATTATCAGCAGACGAAAACTGATATGAGATCGCCACTGAGGCTACGTAAAGGATAGTGCCAAGAGTATTGGAAGCGTTACCCGTGTGGCAGAACAAACCTTTAGTCAGTTTCATTGCCACTGTAAGTGTAGGCTAGATTTAGATACCTCTGGATGTGTATAAGTAATAGAGGAGACTTGTAGATAGTTTGCTTCTACATAGATGAATTATAGCTTTACCTTTCAATCATACAAATGCCCATTCGCTTTCTATATTCGAACTGTGACAACTAATTAATATTACAGAAAATAGATGTGGCGCAGTATTAAATGATACGAATAACGGAACCGAAAACGAGATAGTACATGACTAGTGAAACAGATGCAGGACTGTTAGAATTACAACAGTCTTGTCTATGGAGCCATTGCTTCCTTGTGTGGACTAGCATCATTGCGGAGGTTCGTAGGAGACACCACTAACAGATGTATCGAGAATCTTCTAGGGAATTGTCGAAGAGCCCATATTATTCTAGTCATAGGGGGAACCTTATTGAATGGGAGTATCTCAAAGTATATCTCAAAGTGCATATATATTTGTAGTCTAGCTGTAGGAATTATCTTTTCAGAGAATTATTATTAGAAAAATGTACCTACAAGATTTCCCATGCATTTGGTACTGAAACTTTGACAGTGGCAAGAAGCTTGATTTCTAACAATTTTCGAATCATGGCCCAGCATATGGTTCGTATCATGTATGGATGAAGACTAGGAAGGGCTAGTAAAAATGACTGAAAACAGAACGCCATCCCAATTTGCAATAGATGGGCCTTGGGCGAATTAGATACGAGAGCCAAGTCTGGTAGGATGCACGAACGAGAGAAGCAAAAGGACTGAGCCCTTCATGCCTGTCAATAAATGTATTCCGCTTCAACTTCTTGCAGCTGCTGTAGAGTCATTTAATCCTCAATCACCACGTTGACACTTTATGGTGCCTACCCAAAGGTTGAAGTTCATGAGAGTTGTCGTCTCTACAATAAAGATCATACAGAACTTTAACATCATCTCTAATCTCTGCGACAGAATCATTGGCCTAGATCAACAATTTACACTATTTTATCGACTTCTATTATAACTTTTAGTTCCCATCCATTGGGCCTTGGCCGTCTCATTAAACCCCCGACTTTCTCAAGTTCATACTTCAGCTCCTTGAGATAGACGCTCTTTCAATGAAGATTCTCGGTGCTGTTTCTGCCAGCGCTTTTACTGTATTGTTGCTCCTGGGGTCTGTCGCGCAAGGAAATTTGCTTAAATGCGCTACTGGCGATATGTTTTATGTCAGTTGGATATATGAACTTGCATTAAAAGCTGAACATCGCTTTTGGAGTCCCGATCACCCTTTAGGTCCCAATGGGAAAATTTGCAAGGCCTATCCGTTCACTGATCCATCGGCATATAGTCAGTCCTCTTTGCTCTCAACTTATGCTATCACTGACCATATCCATTTAGCCGGAACCACCCATCATCACTTAGTCCAGGTTTGTGTTGGCATTGAATACTTCATATTGTATCAATGGTATCATGATAAATGGATTGAATGTGAATTACTTAACAATAATCCGCAGTGAACATGACGGCTTTCCAAATCAAATCAAGGGGTTGATTAGATATCTAGAAATAGAAGGCAGATTTACAGTACAAGAAATGAAAAAGCGCCAGATTGAACGAAAAGCTGCTTTCAGGGATCCGTAATTAGAATTTTAATACTAATATTAATTCGTGATAAGATGAAGGGGTAGTTAATTAAAACCATCAATTTAATAATAGCTTCCCCTACAGTGCCTCTAGGTTCCAAAAGGTAAAACTTCAAACTGGGTCGTTGAAGGGATTAGCCCTGTAGGTGCAATTGGGCTAGCTCGTAATAGGTTAGTATGTCTCTCCTCCTTACCACGCTCGCCATGAAGTATGGTTCAATTGTCTTCTTCTAATAATTGCTTAGAAAAACACATTTTCAACGACATTTTTGGCTGCCAAGCCTACACAATCACTGAAACTTCTCACCACTATCAATTCATCCTCTATTCTAGCAAACAATGTCTCTCGAAAAGTTTGCTTCAGAAACTAAAGTTCGCAAGCATCTAACTCGCGATCAATGTATTGAAATAAGAGCATTAAGAAGACTTGGCTTGACACTTCAAAATATATCCGACAAACTTGGCTTCACAATAAGACAAGTACAACTTGCGTGTGCTCGAGAGACTGAGAATCCTATGTCTCGCAAAGGACCCTTACCAAAATTAAGCGCGGAACAAGTTGATGAGCTTGAGGCTTTCGTCCGGAAATCTCCTAAAAATCGACAGATGTGCTATTTGGAACTAGCCATGGGGCCCTTCAGCCACTGGGGGTGCAATGAACGTTTAATTTCAAATGCCCTCAGTAAAATAGGTTACAGCAGATGCATTGCTCGGAAGAAGCATCCGTTAAGCGCGGTGAACAAGCAGAAAAGATTGGAGTTCGCCCAAATACATTTAGATTGGAGCGATGAACAATGGAGCCGCATATTATGGACTGATGAAATCTGGGTATCAGCTGATTCTCAGCTGATTCTCATATGAAACCTCGTGTCACAAGAAAAATACATTAAGATTCTATCAAAATCTTCCTTGTACTTAAAGCAGAGTTTGGCCTGATGATGAGTTTGATGAGACTTGTATTGTGGCTCGCCATACTCATAGGAACAGCTGGATGTTTTGGGGATCATTTTATGGATCACAAAAAGGCCCATTCCTAGTCTGGGAGAAGGATTGGGGATCAATGAGGGCCTCATCCTTTTGTGAAAGGATTTTGCCAATTTTGAATCAATTTCACTCGGAAAATCCAGAAATTTTATACATGCACGACAACGCACCATGTCACAAAGCGTACTCAACAATTGAGGCGCTGCGTGAGGTTGGAATAACGCCTATTAGATGGCCACCTTACTCTCCGGACCTGAACCCGATTGAGTCATTGTGGAATATCTTGAAAAACCACATTCAGGTAAATAGTCCAGAGAAAAATGGGGTCAGGCTTGTGCGCTCTGCCACGTTGAAGACATTGCTTCAGGATGCATGGGACTCTATATCTTCAGAGGAGCTATTGTCACTAGTTGGCAGCATGCACGAAAGATGTGTAGCAGTGATAAAGGCAAATGGAGGGTACACAAAGTATTAGGATGGAGAAGACTAATACAAAGCATGTAGCACGCTTTCATTTTAGTTGCGAGCCATACTGAGAGCTTCGATGTAGACTTTTGTAATATAGAGCAATAATTTTTGAAATAGATGTGCATTTTTAGAGAATATCAATTGATTTTTTTAATTTTGAATTTCAACTGAGGACCATTGTACCTTTCCCATTGAGTTGAAAACCATCCCCATAATTTAGACTTTCACGGAATGTCATTGGATAGTACTCCTGAATTGCATAACTAGTCGACGAACTAGACATGGGCCTGCATGAAGACTAAACCAATCTAGTCATTAGATACAGGGATCTAACCCCAGTCATTTTGACAATTTTACCTTTGCTATCTATAAGAGACTGTATACAATTAGTCATGTAAAACGTCATGTAAGGATATGCAAGAGAGTCATGAAGAGAAGGACAAGAACACAGCCATCAATGCGAAGATATTGGCAAGAATTGATTACGATTAATTCCGGCTGGCAAATGCTTCTACTCTTATATATAATAGTTCGGCGTGAGAGAGATTTACTCCTCTCGCAACGTCTTCTTTGCTTACCCTTTACAATACATTTGTTTACCCATCTCTTCATCAGAAAGACCCACGTGTAATTAATTAACGCAACTAGTTGCCCATTCATCTCTTCCTAGAGAAGACCTGTCATCCCTTTGACCCATTTATAATCTTCACTTACCACCTAGTTCTTCACTAGGCTATACAACGCACTCCATGGAACACTGTCAAACCTCCATCCCTGAGAGCTGCGCAGCCTTTTACACGGCCGCAGATATCAATTTGACATTATGTCTCATTTCAACTTTCATCTCCCCAACTTCCTCCGTCTATGTTGGAAATATCGCGCAATGCAATGGGCGCAATATTCATGGAACGAAAGTAGAAGTTGACTAAAAGAGTATCATGTTCGGATTAAAGCTAAAAGTGTGAGAAGTGTGCGCTACAAGTACAAGTGTAAGCGACACATAGCCTAAGCCACAGCATAAACGAGTGTGGCGCCATCTAGGCATAGAAAACCCCCAATAACCTCCTTGCGCCCACACCATACAGCCGCTCATATGTCCAATAGGTAGCCTGAAGCGCTACCATATTACCTACTTCAACCTCTTAAATACACACGAGATCGTGTCGGGAACCTAGACGAAATGGAGGGCCCACACGTCCACAACACTCCGTGTCCCCATTTCCAACAGTCTAACCTTCTGTGCTGTCAAATATTATATAGCTCGGTGTAACAGTTGTGAACTGTACTAAGCATGCGCTCGCCTAATCATACTCATCTTGATCTGGTTAGGCTCGGCTGATAATCTTCCGGCCTCGGCACATAGTTTGTATGATAATTTCGTGTACATAGAACTTTCTTTCTTTAGATTAAATATAGCTCATGATTCAGACCCAACTATATCATTCTTAGCTTTCCTCTGACACTCGGAATACCAATATTAACATACTTATAGGTCTTACTATTCGGCTAGTAAACTCTCCATCCTGTGTTATTATTATCAGTACATCTACTCCTGCAAGGTTTGGTGCGCAATGGTATTTATCTCATTCTAGCATTCCAGTGGATGAATGTCTCAAATGCAGGTTACAGAGTGATTAGACCCAACACCAATTGAATTAGTATCGGGGATTGTGAGGATGATATGCCAAGGAAGAGCGTGAGTTGGAGTTGTGATGAATGTGTTTACTAACCAAAAAACTTTACTGATGAATGAATATTAATTCATAATGCACACAAGCCTTGAACTCAGAGCTTTATGCGGAGAAGGCGGGTCCTACCCCGGCAACTGTATATGACTATGACTAAGTTTGACATCTGGACTACTTATTTAGTCAGTGCATTTGCTGATACCACTCGAGACCTACGTGCTAGGGGGTTTCACCGATCCCTCAACTGTTGATATCCACAAAAGGCAAGCCAGGAATAATATTTAGCTACTCTAACATGCCTTTTTCATCCCGTAAATAGCCAACGCGCGAGACATGGCCTTGCAGTTCTCCCTTCTTGATTGAGGTAGGTGTCTAGGCCACTGTCACAGGCTTGTGCCTGGTTATCATCATGCTGCTGCCTAATAAATAGGGCTTGAACTCCTCCATCTTCCTTAAACACCAAATATGTCATGAACCCCTCCACAACTCATTAGGCCTAAGTATAGGCCTTGGCCTAGTTCATGCAAATCTATTCTTAAATGACAAATTTAGATTGCAGACAGGACGATTCGAACACCAGGTGTGAGTCATCTAAGCCACATGCATCATAACTATTTTAATAACTAAAATTACTAACATTAAAATGAAGCTGAATCAAAATAGAAGGAGATGCTGGTGTTTGTCAGAGGATAGGTCATGGTCAATTTTGAGAATGGTATGAATGAGGGAACGAGCTCATAGTCTTGTAAATAAATAGGAGCCTCTCAGTCATGTCTCTGCTTGTTGAATTTGATTTCATTTAGCCCGACTAGGCGCCTTAAGGCCCATGTAGGTATCTACAAACTCCAATATTTACATAGGAGGAAACCTTTGTGGTAAAAATCTCCTCAACTTTTCAATTTATATACACTATAAGGTTGTGTTAACTTCACAAAGTGCACTAATTGTTGAAATTATGGAGTACAGAGATAAGTCAGGTGATGATTAATGAAAGTAATTGATGAAGGGTTTGGTTGTTGAGTTTTCTATTATTTCTGTGTTGGAATACACTTTGTCAATCCTACTAGGCCCGATAATTAGTCGTCCCGACCAACTGGTGTTTGGCAAATGGAGATTGTGTATACCTTGTGCTAGCGTTGTTTACTGCTGTTAATAGGAGATCCCGCACTGGCTATCTATTGGGATTAAAGGGAGTCTGGTAGCTGTGTTTAGAAGAGAAGTCGAATTGACATCCTTTTATCCTTCATTATTGCATAAGCTTCCCTCTACCATTGAGTCCACGGACTAAGTAGTAGGTTATACATTTTAATATTAATACTGTTATATCCAGTGCAGATACCTTCCATCTTGTTTCAACTAGAAGGAGTTCTTCTTTCCCCTACTCTCTTGTCTCTCTCTCGTTGTGGCCTCGACTTCAAGCGTCAGTCGAAACTGCACTAACCTTCCTTCCTGCTGGATCCATCTATTTATCCTTGCAATATCTTTGGGGTTATTTATCATGTCCTCAAATGACCGGTTGTGTGCCTATCTCAGTATTTCTCATCTACCTTTGTCCCAGCTGGTGCAGGCCATAATTGTATGCTTCACATTCTGGGACGGATAACCACATTGGCAACGTGGATTACCTACTCCTGGAACTTTTCTTCTGTGCAGATAGGAATTGAACCCAATGTGTTCGCTTCTTATATGTATGGCTATGCTTCTCTGGGCCCTGCTCAGGTGTTTATGGATATA